TATCCCTTTGCTGCAGCTTAGCAAGAAAACTGTGTCAGATCTCAAAAAGGGAATTTCACACCATAAATAAACACATTTGACTTGTGCAGTTCTGCTGGACAACTACTGAATCCTGCCAGGTTAAACTAAATGGGATGGCTGATGTGCTTTGGTCAAGTTTTTATTTGTCATGTACACGTAACAAATCAGAAAACCAGAAAAAGGAAGATTCGTCTGTCACAGGACAAACATTCAGACTGTGGTAAGCATCAGTTTCAAGATGACAGATTACTATATCTAAGACATTTTTACACATTTTTAGACACACATAGTAAGAAAAGCATAGCTGTTATCAGTTACATTAAGGAGGTTCCCTTGACAAAAAGCCAGAAAGTAAGAAGACTTTGAAGCTGATGCATCCAGATTGATCCTTTTATGATTTACCCATGCTTTTCTTTCTGTGATGGGTCAAAATGCCCATTTTATAAGTAAGAAAAACATAAAAAGACATTTAATTGTTTACAGATTAAGGCTTGACATGTTTATCCTCAGAATGACAGCTAGTGTAGTAAGCAGTGAGAACGGGCACTGACTGGAAATCAAGCAAAAGGCAGTGATCTCTGCAGAAGCTGTTCACTTGTGTCATTTCAGGTCCACAGGAGCTGTGATCTTCTAACAAACTTTTTTCGCTGACCTTGAACCAGTAAGATAAAGCCTGACAAAAATAGATATGCAGTTCTGTACAGAATCATGTAATCTTGCATCTTTGTGTTACTGGTTATAGGGCATGTTTTTATTTGGGGCTTTCAGTGTTTGGGCACTTTTCCTGGTGACATCTACTGCAAAAACAGCCTAACGGGGTCGTTCAACAGGTTCAAGGGGATATGACTTTTGAAGTAGCAAAAGTCAAACTTGGGTGGAAGGGAGGGAGAAATGTTATACATAAATATGTTACTCATATATCTTCCTTATATTATTTATTTATTTATTTGTTGCATTAATCCACACCACAAACAGATAATTGCATTGTCTCTCCCGCCACTGTACACTGCTCAGAATACATTAGTCAGCTTGACGCTTGTTCACCAAATGTGTGGACGCATCAGATGAAAAGGTGGACTGAGGCCTATAAATACGGCTGCCTGAGTGTCCGGTGAGCCAGTGTTAAAACCCTGCTGTACCACCTGAGGATCTCAGCCCGAACCTCTCTGAATTCACTCCTGCGAGCGGTGTTTCATTGTTGCCGTCCGGTGTTTCTTTTACGGAAAGAAGCGTCCACAGCGAAATATTTTGTCCTCGTCGCTTCAAGTGCGAATTAATCGCGTCCACGCTCTATTAACATGTCGTTTCCCTGTGCGTAAAATGCCGCGCTCAGTGCGTCCTGGCGCGGACGATTGCTTGGAAAATGTGCGGTGTCTGTCGCGTTTCCATCACGCCCCGCTGCTGTGGGTCGGTGCTGAGCAGGAGTGGCATCTCGGCGACAAAATCTGGATGAAAGAGCGTCCTTTAGAGCTCAGGCATGCATCGAGAAGTGAGATCATTGGCGTTATAAATATCCCCGTGCCAGCAGAACCACTCCAGCTACTGCAGCCGGGGTAATGCCTAGGAGCGCTGCATGCAGTGCGTGCGCACGGTTTCTGGTGCTCAGATCTCAGGAGCGAGACCAAAATGCTAGAAGTGGCCTCGCGGGTGTCTCCTTTTTGAAAGAATGAATGTTCCTCTTTACCTTCTGACCTTCGCTCACTTAATTTGCACCGCTGCGGGAGCTCAGCACGTCTCTTTGGAGCGCCAACTTCTGGAGGAGGGGATCCGTTCGGGACGCAGGACTTGCAGACTCTACTGTAGGGTTGGCATCGGCTTCCATCTCCAGATTCATCCCGACGGTAGAGTCAACGGCAGCCATGAGCCCAACCAGCTGAGTAAGTCATTCAGTCCGGCCTCACTGTGCACGAAGCAGCCTAACTACTAATTTATGAAGGTCTGAGGCGTGGATGAATCCGGTGCGTCCCGCTGAGAATGCGCACTTGGATCCTGTGTTTGTTCCAATTGATCCCCGTTCTGTCTGCAGCGATGTCTATTTTGACTGCCATCCCTGCAAGTTTGAACAATGATTTACACATAAAGACGGTAAGGAGCGCGCTGCTAAACTTAGGCTGTCCGAGCCTGTGAAATATCTGAGCAGGCATCTGTTTGACGAGCCTTGTTTGTGTCTCTCCGGGGATGGTGGCAGGTAGACTATTTGTAGAAGTAACAGGTGCAACAGGATGTATTGGACTGCGACTCAGCACGACTGACATAATCGCAACAACGCGACAATATGCACAAAAAAACAGATTTCCTTTAAAACGTTTATTGTTTGTTGTACCTGCAAAGTTAATGATTTGAGCTGCAGACTCAAGTATTAAAGTGAAATTGATTTTCAGATAATTTAAGAGAAATGAGATTTTGGAACCACAAACAAACGCTGATGTTTGCAGTGCAGATATTCGACTTAAGCGTCATCCTGCACGCTGGATTGTTTAGGGCTGAAATTCTGAAATATTAATGATCATAAATGACAAAGATCAAACAAACAAGTTGATATTTGTTGTTGCTGATAAATGCATAACAGAATTCAGGAATCACAGAGTAATATAGTTAAATGTATAGGTTGGGTATGAATCTTACAGCTGCCTGTGTGTTTCTGAAGGGACGAACTAAAAAAAAAATTTGGAAAATTGAATTATGACTTGAAATGTCTGAGGTGTAACCATTTCCTCCTGTTTCAAATTCATTTACACCTCTAAAGGGAGATGACTAACATCACAGTTTCACTAAATAATCTGACTTTTAGAGCATGCCTGGCACTTTGAAAGCTATCTGTTCACACTAAAAACTCCTTCACACTCCAGTGGATGTTGACCATGAACACTAGTTTCTAAGTGACAGCACAAAGTAATGTGCAATTTGACTGTAAACATTTATCTAAATAAAAACCCTTAAGGGAAAATGAACTGTTAAATTTAGCTGTTTCAAAATGCAAAAAGTCCCACCTCTCTGTTTATGAAGTCCTGTGTCAGCTAGGCCACAAAACTAAAGCCATAAATCAGATTTTCAGCTTTTACTGCACCATCAGATCCTTCATCGCTCATCCGTTGACGAAACAGCAAAAGCTCACCATGAAAGTGCACTTGTGCCTCCATTTCATGGTCCCCTTTAGAAGAGTTGTCAGGTTACATGGATTTCAGCCATGTGGTTTTGAAGCCTGAATGACAGGGCAGCAGACTAGCAGGAGACTGGGCGTCTTGGATTTGTAATATGAAGATTCTTTTACCATCACGCAGCATCAGATTCAACTCTTAGATTTAACTCAAATGCTCACATTCGAGTTTGGATGCGAGACCTTTCTGCTTCAGGACAGCGGTTCTTTATTTATTGATTTATTTCTGTGTGGGTCCAACAGTGTGTGTGCATTTTTGGGGAGTTAGTTTCACAGTTCATTATATTTAATCTTTTGTTTAATGCAGTGGTTCAGGGACTTCTTCTGGCATTGACCGCTTCAGAAGCAGAGAAGGATCCATGCCCCACACCCCACAATTTACAGTTTTCTCAAAGTTTTTTTTTTTTATCATAAAAAGAATCTGATTGAAATTTTAGTGACATAAAGATCAGCACAGTAGCATTCACACCGTCTTGCTGTTTATATTTCCCTCATAAATCATATTAAGTTTAGGTTTTCTCTATACTTTTGTATGGCATTCAGTCATTACTCTCCCCTGCAGTAGTCTCTGAGCCTGTGTGTTGTTCCTCTAATTGAAAAAAAGTGTATTTATCCAAGTTTATTCACGGCTCAAATACTCACAGAAGCCATCAGCACAGGTAAGGTTTAGTTCAACATGCTATCACTTAACCCTGTAAGACCCAGTCCATCAAAAAATAGCCAGAAAATTCAGATTTTTTTTAGAACTGAGATGTTTATCAACCCTTATAACAAAATCCACTTTTTTCGCTATATCATGCTGTGTATGATATATTTTTATTATATTTTTATTATATATGTTTTGTATCACATTTGTATCAATTGAGTGTTTTTGGCAACTTTTTGTTAACAACAATGTTAATTTTAGACAAAAAAAAGAATTTTGTCCATAACATTTTGCAATTATGGTGAGCACTGATCCTGTCTGATCATGTCTCAGAAACTTATTTATCAAATATGATACCCAGGGTATTATAGGATCAACAATATCAAGCTTTTTGATGCATGCTCAATCACCCAGGAAAGTAAATCTCCAAAAAGTTGATTCTGTTCATCTGGACGTAGCGTTTTGTGGGAGAAACGTTTCGTCACTCATCCAGGTGACTTCTTCAGTCTCAGCTGACTGCAGGTTTCCCCAAATCTTATAAACAGTACATTTGCATAATGACTGAAACCAGCCCACTGAAGGAACAATGGGCTGGGAGGTCAGCAACTTAATCTTAATTATGCAAAGTATCATGACCACTGATCAACAACCACTGATCAATGACCACTGAGATTAAGTAACTTGGATGAGTGACGAAACGTCCAGATGAACAGAATCAACTTCTTGGAGAATATCAAGCTTTGTTAGCAAGATAAACTAATTTACTAATCATAACTAAAGGAATAACTTTGTGGATTGTCTGTTTATGTAGTCAGCTAGCTGCACTACAAATCACTGACAATCCTCCAAACGTGGTCCAGTTCAGTGGCATGTCCAGTTAGGCACGTGCATTTGTTCAGAACATTTCATATGGTATATTTGATGTAAATAACAAACACTTTGCACATCTTCATAGTGACACTTTAACGGTACACTTTTACGTTTGCATAAAATGTTTTCATTAATAATAAAATGGTTTTGCTTATTATTTTTGTATGAAGCAACTTTGGTGTTTGGTCCTTCAGTGTTCAGCCATTAAACACGCCATGAACACTGAAGGAGGCGATGGTGGCGATAGGTTTGTGCCTCAGGAGGTGTTCTTCTGTGGCCCCCAAATATTTTATACACCAGTATCCCTCAGTTTGGTTCTTACTCATAACAACTGATTCCTCCAAAGCAGCCCATAAAAATCTTTCGTCATAGAGATTTGGAATAATTAAAGATAGAACTACTGCTCCGTGTTCCCTTTTTTCTATTCATGCAAACACTAGCGATCTAAAGAAGCCTACTAAAGAGCCCACTAAGAGATAAGTCTCAACGGTGCAGCTGAACAGGATAACAGCGCTGACATGACAGCAGAGTGGATCATGTCAAAGTCTGTTATTCGGAGTGAGGACGAGCAGCAAGAGACAGAAAATCACAAGACGAGTAAAAATACATCCTGTCACCAGTCAATCATCAGATCATGTTGTTTGTCCTCTTAGGTGTCCTGGAGCTCTTTGCGGTTTCTCAGGGGGTCATCGGTATCAAAGGGGTCTACAGTAACAGATTCCTGGCCATGAATAAAAGAGGACGGCTGCACGCAACTGTAAGTATCCCACTCAGTTCCTACACTATTAAATTCACTCAGCACATACAGTGTGTGGATACTTGAGGGGGCACAAAGCAAGTGCTGACTGGAATGTTGTTGCCCAATTAAGCAGCTTTTAATATGATTAATTAGTTATGTGCAGTTTGGATTTATAAAGGTCAGGGCCTTACTAATGTTTACACTCTCATATATGCTTATATATTGTATGTTCATCATATTATTATTGCTAGCAAGCTGCCTTTTTCCATATCAGGCAGACACTGATCAACATTATTATCCAGCTGCAGACCTGTAATTACAATGTGTATTCGTCCACAAACTATTAAAGTGGATTACAGAGAACACTAGCAGGGATATGGTGAGTGTGGAATCCAAGTGAAATCTGGAAACTTGCAGTGATGACATGTGAAATAATAGTTGGTGCTACAAAAACTGTAACTAATAAGTTTTTGTAGTTTGAGTTTTTGTGCCAAACTCAGAATTAAGTTTGCCACTCAGATCATGGCAGATAGCTGCCCTTCACTGAGCCTGGTTCTTGCTGTTAAAAGGGATTTTTTTCCTTCCCACATTCGCCAAGCCCTTGGTCATAGAGGGTCGTCAGATTGTTGGATTTTTTGTGTATTATTGTAGGGTCTTTACCTTCTAATATATATAGAGCATTGTCATGACTGTTGGTGCTATACTACTAAAGTCTTTGTAAGCTACCTAAATGAAAAACATGAGGACAAGACGTGGATACAGACAATTAAACATGAAACGCTAACACAAGAAAGAAGTGGGACATTCGGTATGCTAATGAGCGTAAAAGCATTTGGTAATGATCTGTATTAAACTTGTAAATCTTGACAGAGTATATGATCGATTATTCCGAAAGCACCATTATTCTTTGTGAGTGCACTAGCTAACTATAGCAGCTTGCTAACACATAGCTAGCTTTAGCTTTCTAAGAACAAACTACATATGGAGACAAATACCTGCTACTTGTAATTATGCTCAAGTGTTAGTCACTCACCTTGTTTGGTTAGTGAATATGCCGCTCTGTAGCATATAGTGTAGTGCACTGGTGACTGCTGCTGCTAGAAATGGGTCTGTCAAGAAGTGTAAAGCTGGATGAAAGTGGCAAATGTCTTATAAAAACATACCTGCAAAGACCTAAAAACTTTAAGTATTGTCTTTGTTGACCACTCGTCGTGCTCTGAGACTTCCTGCAAACATATAAACTCAGCACCAGAATTTGTTAACGGTTATTTTCTGCTGATATGATGCTGCTTTCTGCTGGAATCAAACATCGTTTGGACTCGTGGTGCATTTATTCATTAGAATCTTTTCTGTTTGTTTTATTTATTAGCTTGTGCAGCTTTATATCTGTGCTGCATAACAAAAATCCCTAAATCTGACATCAGCATGTCAAGGCACACTGCTGTAATCTGTAGGCACAGTTTTGAAGATTTTCAAATTCCCCCGAACACACAGTAAGCCCAAATCTACCCACAGCAGCTTGGCCTCGCCGCCGTGAGCAGGCCGGACAGCCAACAACCAGCCGCACTGACGAGTCATCAGCGGGAGTCTTGGCACGCACAGACATAGAAGCAGCTCCCGATTAGCATGTGCTAATGTGAAGAGCAGATTAATTCCAGTCTGGGACGTCTGATAGTATAAAGAGGAGTGAGCCATGAACTGAAAATCAATATGCTGAGTAAACAATCAGCTGGACAAGCAACAATCGGAGAGCCGGAGCGTCTGTGAGCTGCGGCGGTGCTCACGCTGAGCGATTTATGGCCCCTCAGCTCCCGGCATTGTTTCATGAAACCATGTCAGTGGGAAGCGATGCAGCGTTTTCCCTCAAAGTGGATTCTCAGCCACAGCTTGTTATTAAAATTATACACATGTGACTGTGTGCTATTCACCAGCAGAGATTTGTTAACCAGCTTATATTAGCCCTGAAATAAACTTTTTCGAGGTCTCAGTTCTTCGCAAACAAGATTTCAATGTAAACTACATCAGCTGGATATTAGGAGAAAACAATGTGACATAGCGCTGTTGGGTATTGCCTCAAACTAAAGATAATTATTTTGTTCTTCTGGAAGTCTTGAGTACACAATCACCAAGGCTGTGGAACCACCACAACTGCGTTTGGTTGACTCTGTGGAAACCTTTAAAAAGCAGTTAAAAACTTAATCAATACTTTTGCATTGTTTATATTGTCTATTTTATTACTTAATGTTTTCTTTATTTTAACCTTTGTGTGCAGCGCCTTGTGACTGCCTGTCTACGAAAAGCGCTTAATAATTAAACCTTACCTTACAATCATCACTGGATCAGGGATTTTCTGCTTGGTACCACAACTCCATGCCATGAACTGCATGGCTTATACTATGCATAGGTCACCGACACTGTAATCCTAATCTGTTGGTGGTTTTGTGTGTTTTTTAGTTTATGTTGACCAAGTGTCACACCTTAATGTTTCCAAGGATTATTTATTGGCCCCTACAAAAGTGTTCTTGATATACCGTCTCTGATTTTGAGGCCTCGAGATGAGTGTTTTCACAGTCACTTGACAAGTGAAGTCAAATATATCACAGATGGTCCTCAATTCTGAGCAAAAGCTGCATTTTGGAGAGTGTTTGACCCAATAAACTCATCAGGAAAAAGTGTTAACAGAGGTCAAATCAGAAATCCTTTATCCCATAGACGAGTACGGGAGCAGAAATCTTCCTGCAGCCGTAGGTATTGCAATCTGGTGGCCTTAACATAGAATTCTGGTTTAATGCACTTTGCACTGGCTTCTTTTCCACTCTGGAAGCTACGTTCATGTTTTATAACCTCATAGATCACGAGTGTGACCACAAAACCTTTTACACTACACTAGGTACACTGTCATTGGCTAACGATGTAGTTCTACCTATTTTAGCCTACTTTTTAAACTCTAATGAGGACCATGAGTCATACTGATAAATTTCATGTATTCATTATGACTTGAAAGTACTGACTGACCTTATGAACTCCCCAGGAAAGCTTTTATTCAGACTATAGAGCAAGAAGCCATAGACATCTATACGAATGAGAGTCGCCTCCTGCTGGTTAGTTGAAGGAATGCATGTTTAAGCCGCTTCAATATTGGCCTCACTTTCAGATCCATTTTCTATATATAGCATATTATTATCTGTAAAATAACTCTGAAACTTTCAGTGACATCTGCCTTGATAGGTGGAGTTCAGATTTTTTCTTGTCACATTTCAACACTTTGCTGCCTCTGCAGGATGATCTCAGGCTTTTACGCTTATATTCTTGTGCACATTGCAGCTTATATAGTTGATATTTTCTTTCTTTGTAGTAGAGCTTCGCTGGTTAGATGCCTCGCACTCTGATAGTCTCGTTGCTTCCTGCAGTTGGAGTGTATTTTTGCCTCCAGAGCGGCTCTGCCTTCAGAGGAATATTTGTACAGTTAAACTCCAATCTGTGACTACAGCTGCACTGTGCTCTTTAACTGCCTTGATGATTTGGTGGATGTAAAACCTCGGGGGCCTCAGGCTCAGGCCTCGCGGCAGGGTGTCAGGTGACGTGCTGAACTGTATCTGTTGCATCGTCTGTCATATTTACTGTTTAGATGTTTTCACAGTGGCAGTTTATTCGCTGAATAATGGGCGAGGAGACAGATGCACATTGCTCTGCGTGACCTACTCAGCAGGCTATCGCAAACATAATCTTCTGAAAGGTGAAAGGGTCGCCAGCATTTGTTAAACAAACAGTGAGGGAGGGGTTATAGATAAAAGAGAGAGTGATACACACATACATAGCTAAAAGCAAGCCTGTGTAGTGGCAGAAAATACCACTAATCACTTTAATTTGTCACAAATGAAATAATTAATTAAAGAAAGGCCTCACCACCAGGAGCTGTGCTCAGCCTGCACTTCAAAATGTGAAGTAGAGTCCTTCAGGAGACACTTATCATCACTGAGGCACAAAATAATGCCAGGTGTTCAGGCCTTTGATGACATCTCTGCCATCAGATCAGATAACCTGACTAACACAACAGCAGGATCGTGTGTGTGAGTCAGAGGGAAACAGAAACATTACAAATATGTCAGGATTTGTCTTTTTTTCTTGTTTCCTAACAAACAGAACAGAGAAGCTATTAAGTAACTAAATAACTGATCGTTTAAATTAAAACACTCATGCATTATATCCTTTGTTACAATAAAAAGTAATCTAATGTATTACTTTGTAACAACTGGTCTCCTTTTATGCAAATGATTGTATAAATGGAACTGTATCATGTACAGTCAAGTTATATACCAGGTTCATAGAAGAAAGGTGAGTTAAGTTACAACTTCATGTTGTTGGTTGAGTATTTCTGTAAGTGCTGAAATACTAAGAGTATCCCACACAAACATGTCTACAGCCCAAAGTTAATTATGTAAAAAAAGAGAAAATAATTCATGCCAGAGATCAGAGGAGAATAGAAAGACTTCCAAGTGATAGGAAGGTAACAGCAGCTCAGATAACCACTTGTTAAAAAAGAAAGCCTACCAAAGAACATCTGTGAATGCACAGCACACTGAACTCTGAGCGAGACGGGCTACAGCACCAGAAGACCACGCTGCTTGGTCTGATGAGTCTCAGTTTCTGCTGTGACATTTGGAATGCAATATGACGGCATGGATCCGTCCTGCCTTATATCAACAGTTCAGGCTGCTTGTGGTGATGTAATGGTATGGTGGATTTGTTTCTTGGGACACTTGGTATCAAATGAATATGTTCAAAGGCCGCAGCCTACATTAATATTGTTCCTGAGCACGTCCATCCTTTATGACAGCAGTGTACTCATCTTCTGACGCCTGTTTCCATCAGGATCATTCGCCATGCCACAAAGTTCAATTCAACACAAACTAGTTTCTTGACCATGACAATGTTAAGAAATCAGTTGCAGTCAAACAGCCTCCACAGTCACCAAAGCTCATTTTGACACTTAGGTTTCGTTTTTTATTTAAATAAACTGAACTACGCTGTATGCTTTGTTTCACTATATTTCAGTAAAGGATCATTTTAAAATCACAGCGCATTTAGTTGGAAAAATGTAGGATGTGTTATGTCTTACCTTTGTACCGAGTCTCTACAAGATGTTTGATATATATATATATATGTATATATGCATGTATATATATCAAGGATCATGGGAACGGACCCTTTAAAAGACTGTAACCTATCCTGCAGGGTAGGAGCCAGGTTAAACAGCTGTACAAGCATTATGATTTTTACAATGAGATCTCTGGAATCTGGCTGCAGCTATTAAATCCTATGAAATGCAGCACGGGCCAAATCTTCTTCTTGGTATGCATGCTTATGTGTGTATACGTGCCTGCATGTGTGTGTGTGAGAGTACATTCATACACGCTCCAGTGGATTTGTTTCCAACGTCTAATTCCCCGACTGGTTCCAGAGACGGTAAGTTGCTCAAATGTAGCATTTCATTTCAGTCCACCCACAGCTGTGACTCTGGAGTTCTATACTTTTTTCTTAAAATCGTCCTTTAAAAACAACAACTAAAAGAAACAGTCGGTCACTTTGAATAACTTAAAGGTTTGCGCTGTTCTGCTGCGGCCGCAGTGCACTCTCCTGTGACTGGCATGTTTACCGAACGCTGTAATGGCATCATTTTCTGCTATGCTGCACTCTTCAGCAAAGCAGAACAGTTTGTTTTATTTCAGAATGGCAGGAGGTTATACAAGGAAGTCATGCTGCAGCAAGAAAGCCGGCATCCCTGGGTACATGTCAAAGTTTCCCACCCGAGATATATTTAGGCACAAAACGGGAACATTCAATGAATATCTGCATCTCTGTGCATGACACGTGTGCAGAATGCAGTGCTGCATGCCAGTGTTACATTTTTACATCTCTTTCTAATACTTTGGTAGACAAAGTCTGATCAAACCTGCGACCCAAATAATACAATTTTGATGCAGTCCAACTATGTGCGTCAGGTCCATCTGGAAAACTTTAAGCTTTATGGTTCTTCTTGGATAACCAAACTATCGCAGGCATGTTAAGCAGTGTTTGGGAATAATATTTGGATCATTTAGATTATTAGTAATAATTCATTAAGGATTTTACTTTGCAGACTTGCTGATATTATGTGCACTATTCATACACGAGTAGTCTGATTTAGCCCTGAGCAAGGTACCGTCCCTACACACTGCTCCCCGGGCGCCCAATGGCTGCCCACTGCTTCACTGAGTGAATGGGTTAAATGCAGAGAGCGATTTTCCCCACGGGGACCAATAAAGTACACTTTCTTTTTTCTTCTTCTTTTTAAACCTGCCCCATTCCTCATCCTCTGTTTGAGAACCTGGGTGGGATGAAAACTTTTGTTTCAACATGAGGAAAAATCCATCTTATCCAACACAGTTTAGAAAAATACAATAACTCTGCTGATTAAATTGTAAGAAGAAGAATGATCATAAAAACACCGGCCCATGTCTTCATTCTGAAGTTCTTCCTGAATGAGTTCAATAGCAGATGCCTTTTGAGTTTTGTGGCTTTGCTGCTGTCAGTGAAGGTGTGACTGTGATAATGAAATCATGTAGGTCAGCGGTCTCCAACCTTTTTTGCGCCACGGACCGGTTTATGCCCGACAATATTTTCACGGACCGGCCTTTAAGGTGTCGCGGATAAATACAACAAAATAAAACTAGTACCGGTACCGAAAAAGAAGAAGATTTATTCATAACACACGTGAAAATACTCAGGAAAACCGAGTTAACGATAAAAACGGTAACAAAATAACGCTGGAAACCGATAAAAACCCTGAAAACCATACATTTCACACCTGAGCCTCAACTCTCGCGGCCCGGTACCAAACGACTCACGGACCGGTACCGGTCCGAGGCCCGGGAGTTGGGGACCGCTGATGTAGATGACTTATTAACCCATCACCAAGGAGTATCTGATGCTTCTGCACATCTGTTGCAATTATTGCAGCACAAGCATGACCCAGCTGGCTCATTAGAAATGTAAATTCATGCTATTTTTATAGTGTGTGCAGGTCCAGGTTCAGTTCAGGTTTCTGTAAGTGGACCTGAACGTAGAGTTTGGTAGGTGAACAGTAAATCCTCACGTGTGCATTTCCGGTTTTGCAGCAAAAGGACAAAAATCTCACAGCAAAGGAAATTTGTCACAGAAAGCACAGAAGCTTTTCACAGTAGTTGTGTGTATGTGTTGATGTGAAAGTGAGATCTTCTTGCAAAAAATGAAATAAAATAATAATGCTAAAAGATTTAGTAATGACTTTTTCTGTGTCCACTCACAAGGTAAACAAGTTTAGGTTACATTACATGTTTGGATATGCACAGATCAAGAATCACGTGTGTGAAAATGACTTGGGACTGTTTGCAAATACAGCAAGGTTCAATTATTCAGAAAACAAGAAAGAAATACAAGAAAATGACACGGAATAATACTTGTTAACACCCTGCATTTCCTTTCTTTTGTAGGAACAGTTCACGGATGACTGTAAGTTCAGGGAACGTTTCCAGGAGAACAGCTACAACACTTATGCCTCAGTAATCCACAGGAACCACAGGACAGGTCGCGAGTGGTTTGTGGCCCTTAATAAGAGGGGGAAAGCTAAAATGGGCTCCAGCCCCCGGGTCAAATCCCAACATGTCTCTACCCACTTCTTGCCCAGGGTCAGCATGCACGATAAGGGCGAGCAAGGCTTCACCATCACAGACAGGAGCAAAGAGAGGAGGAAAACCCCACTCCCACCACCTCCAAAGCCACCCGCGGCAAAGGCAAACATCCAAGCAGGAACCACACCGAGGCATACGCAAGTCAAGTACTGGCCCAAGTACAGGTTTGGATAGGTTTATAGAAATTGGACAAATGGACGTACCCCATAAACTGACAATGGTTATTTATCACATTCAAAGCATTCCAGGTATCTACAGACTGTGTGAAAAACCTCAAAGGGCTGACAGGTACAACTGCTGAGCTTTTCTTTTTTGAAGCTATGACAATAGCTGGATGCTGTGTTTGAGTTAACGATGCTCTGTCACGTTTTACGTCGTCATCCGTGTACATACCGATGAAGCTGAAATCCATAACATTAGAAATATTCTTGATGAGGAGTATTTGAGAGAAAGACTTCCAGTTTGTTCTGCTGTCTTGCAAGAATAAGAATGATGCTCTTCATCTTGCAATAATGACACTACCCTCCCTGGCTAAACAAAAGCGATTTCGTTCAGGACCACTGGTGGATAGGAGATTATTTCTGTCTGCAGTAATGTATTTTTGGTCACGTGCTTCTGTTCTAGACTGCCCCACCCATCCATGTGTCCAGGTGGAAAGCATAAGGCAATGTTGCCTGCCTGCTCATCTTTCTATGTTCATATATGGAAAGCTAGAAGTAAGGGAGGACAGTACCAAGAACCCTCCACACAGAACAGCAATGACAACTGATCTGAGATTCGCTGAGTCAGATGTGACGTGAAAGGAAAAGCTGAGGCTGCGAACTGATCTGCCAGTATCGCAGCTTGACAACATGCTATGATTGATTATGACTCGAGTGAGGACTACATAGTTATTTTGTTTTCTTTTGTTAAATGATAAATAAATTGATGATCAAATGAAGCTGGCGAAACACCATTGTGACTTTTCAGTCATACATTCTTTGTATGGGGGCCTTTTATTCTTCTAATAAAACATGTCATTTCAGAGGAAAATCATTTAAAATTTGCAATTATTTTATGAAATCGTGTTGTGTCCAATTTCATTAGGCCAAAAAAAACGTATCTCAAAGTCCGATCTAAAAATGTAACGTTTTATATTATGTCTAAAATTAGCAGGGAGGTGACACATCTAAAGCAGATAATGGATTTCAGCTTTAAACACTAAAAAATAATGAGGTCATGAATATTTTCTTGATGGTTAAGTCACACATGCTGTGATCACTTTTTGATGTAATCTGTATTTTCAAGCCACTTTTTGAGATATAACAATGTCTCTCAGTGATTCAGCCTGAACATACACACCGGCCAACTTTTTAGGAACACCAGATTTGTGATAATGAGCAAGAAAACGTGGACTGGCTCTCTGGAGGCTCCTCTTTTTTCTTGGACAGCTGTGAGGGATCATGGAGAAAACTGTCCATCAAAACTATCATTTTAGCAACCGGCTGTCCCCCCAAAAAATCCAGAGTCACGACCTCCCAGCATTCCACCCAGGAGGAGCGCACACCGCCGTCACCACAGGGATAAAGATGCCAAGAAAGAGCCGCCGCTTGTGTAGAGGAAGGTTCAAGCTGTAGGTGTATCAGATGGCAATGACCTCATAGGAGCACCGGGACATCTCAGGGGAAAAAAGAAAAGCTTGGTGGCGAGGAACGCAGAATGTCTCAGAGTTTGGTTTAAAAATCAAATATTGTCTTTAATGTAACTGTTTGACTTATTGGAGACTGCTGCACATTTTATAAAACACTTGTTTGAAATCAGTGTCATGAATTTACTCCACTGGCAAAAAATGCATATTAATCTATGACGAAACGATTTGAGCACACAGCAGTGAGTGCAAACGTTTTAAACGCGTATCAGAACGCTCTATATTTAGTTTGCACTTTTTGTAGGGACACATAAGATTGTCTCATCTTACGTTATGAAGCCACCCTGTCTCACAGAAAAAAGAAATATTTCTATTTGTTTGCGTACATGGAGGTTTTTGGTTTACAAAACTTCAAACTAACGTATTTCAATTGTAGGAATAATGTATTTTTAATGTGTGAGACACCTCGGACAGCGGCAGCAGTTTTATTATAACCCAAACAATGAAGTAGTTTTATGGTAAATGGCCTGTATTTGTATAGCGCTTTACTAGTCCCTAAGGACCCCAAAGCGCTTTACATATCCAGTCATCCACCCATTCACACACACATTCACACACTATTTCATTTCATACACCAAAACAAAGAAATCACATTCAGCACTCCTGCCACCAAACAGAGACTTTTTTGGCCGTTACACCTAAAAAAAACTGCATTTACCCAGATATGAGTGAAGGTTGATAAATAAACAAACTGTATTTAAGTAGGTGAGAAAACAGGATGCAATTTGTGTCCATAAACAGAATTCTATATATTATTTTAGGCACTGCTGTGAGTCTCTTGGCTGTATCTTCAAAACATGATCAGGTCAGTGTCAAACTCACACTTACATCCATCAGAGCTGTATAATAATTTAAATGTGCTGTATTATATTGTTGTAATCGTAAGCATTACCAAATTATCATTTTGCATCCTGAACCACATCCATCCTCAGTTTTACCAATTACAATTGAACACACATTGTTGGTGAACATGGCAACAGAATATGAACACGATCATAGAGGAGAAGTAAAAAATATGTAGCTTCATATGTTAAAGTTATTACACCGGTTATTACAGTGGAATAAAGCCATTGTAGCCAAGTGTTAGCCAGTGTTTCTGTTGATGTTCAGCTGTACAACTGATATTTCTCATGAAAAGCATGTAGCACATGAATGAAGCATTTTCCACACTGTATTTATGCAGATGGAAATCTGTAGTTTCTTGATGCTGTGTGTCTTGTTACAATGCTCTGTGTTGCCACTGCGTTGTGTGATCGCATCCCAGAGCAATATTTTTTCTACCAGATTGTTTTTTTCATAAAAATGTATGTACGACAAAAATCTTTATGTAATAATACCATTAAAAATATATATCAACATGTATGTGTTTTTTAATTGCATTAAGTGGGAAAATGCAGAAAGTGGTTAAACATGCTGATTTGAAGGTTCAGAGAGAAGGCTCTATCTAATTTGTGTGTTAAAGTTAGATATCTGCGGTAAAATATGGGAGTGTAGTATATTTCACTTAAGTCCTAATGAGGTCACCAATCTGTCACAGCAAAAGTCTGTGGCTGACTAATGAAAGACAGGTGTGTGTGTGCGCTGACAGGTCTGTGCTGGCTGACGTTCTCCAAATCCTCTGAGGTCATGACAGATTTTACTTTAGTCTAAAACAGGCCTGAGCGCTGATTACTTACCAACAATCTTCCTGTCCTTTCAGATATGAACACCAGTGGGATCCCTCCTCCCACTCTAATGATCCAACATTTGACCTCATTCACATTTTGTGCCACTCTATCACTAAAAGAGAATTTTTCTCAAATCTTGCTGTCTTCTGTGAAGAGGTATGAGGCCAAAGGTCAGGCACAGTGCTAAAGTCTAAAGATCATGATGCTGTCCATGCTGTATAACGTGGTTATTATCAATTTTATTTCAAATCTTTAATCAAAATCTGAAAAATGCCTGTTGTGTTCTGGCCAGCAGTAGATGCTGGCCAGTTACAGCTTTGTGGGTAAAGTAACAAAACACAGATTTATATTTCAAAATTAAGATTCACATCAAACTAAGATACATTTTGGGCAATCTGTACAAAGCAAGCTATATTATTTGTGAGCTGCTGCCCTTAAAAACCATCGTGCTCTGCATTTGGAGCTGTAACTCACTCCCAACCTTTGGAGTGGGCACTCCACTCTTTTCCACCTGAGAACCATGGCCTCAGACTTGGAGCTGTTATTTCTCATCCCAGCTGGTTCAGACTTCGCTGCAAACTGCCCCAGTACAAGTTAGAGGCAGTCATTTAATAAAACCAGCAGAATGATCTTATCTGCATGTAGCGAGATGAGATTCTGAGACCACCAAACCCAACACCTTCCACCACCTCCATCCAGAAAAAGGTTCAACAAAATCAGTGACAATCAGTTTGACTTATTACTGGAAATGCAAACTAATCTCTCACTACGACTACACACAGTCACCAAGCAGCCCAACTGCCCAATACCCAATACACATGAGCTGCAGCCCCCAGATGCAGGCAAATGCCTTCTCCAAGTTCAAGGCAGGATTTATGTAGAACTTGGAGTATCAACATGGGTGAGTTATAAAAAGAATCCCAAATACAGTTGTTATGAAGATGGAAATTATTTATCGAGGCCCCAAAAGGTTGATTCTGTACACTTTGGTTGCCATGATTCAAATTATGGTTTAAATGCCACAGCTATGGCCTGCTCTTTAATATTGCTGATCATGTCTTCCTGCCAACACTTTGATGAATCCAAGACATCAGGAACTGAAACTTGTTTATGAGCAAAAAAAAAGGTTCTACTAAGTATTTGATGCTTCTAAAAATAAAGTACTTGGTGAGTGTATTTTATCAAGCTCACCAAAGTGTAGAAAAAATAACTGTACATCACAGAATAAGAACAGCAGAAGTTTCACATTTATTATTTAAAATAGTGTTAATAATTAAATAGGGTTTATTTCTAAGTAAGAAAACAGTCTATGACCTCAGAAATGAGAAGCAGCTTGCGTGACAAAGCTAATCTTGAAGGTTGTTAAAGCTCTCCTCCTTTGCTCACTAACCCACTGTGCCTCTGCTGCCTTTTGTCTTATTTGTCTGTGTGCATACGTGCATATGGGTCATATGTTACAGGGCTGCTGTAGGAGAGACCATTCATAAGAAAATTTTTGATCGTTACTTCACTTTCCATGGACGTCACTGCAGAGCTATTAAAATTCACGCTGGATTGCAAAATTAAACAAAATGATAATAAAAATGATAATAACAGCCAAGAGTCACAGTATTTCTGCACATAAAGCTGAGAAAATACCCACTGAAGGTTTTCGTCTCTATTTTATAGTCAGAAAAGGTGCCAAATTGTGTAGATTTGCCAGGATTTAGGGACTGACATCACGAGACAGGATAATTTGTCGTGTGAGACACTATTCTACTTTTATGCGTCAACTGAGCTCACATTAGTTTAAAATAGAAAAACGGTGTTACTGAGGACCTGCAGGAGCTTCTCTGATGGGATGTAGATATAGATGGGATATTATCGCAGGTCACAGGTCACAGGTCACAATATGATTAAAAACAAAGCTATGCATTTCATCTTAGGCAGGACGTATCATAGACCCATCTCATTTCTTTGTGTCTAGGCTGAAATAAAGCCACTGAAAACTCAACATTTGTAAAAAGAATTTTTTGAAGAAAGACAGTAAGACACAGTCTGAAATAAGGCTACAGTAGAATGTAGTTACAAAAGCAACATCTTAAAGCTTCGCCACAGCCACAGTTAAACAAAGCTATACAGTTCACACTTCCAACACTTTTTTTTCTGCAGTGGGCGTTAGATTTTCACCCAAGACCCGAGAAGAAGAATGAGACTCTTCCCAAACTGGTAGGCTATACTTTTCACAAGGAGCAGAAAAGACCTGTGACACAACAACAAAACAATTCTGCAACAAACATTTTAGGAGCTCAGTTTACATTGCTACCTGCTCAGGGTTTCGGGGTTCTCTTCGGTTCCTCAGCTGCTGTTGACCGAGAGTAACAGCTTCTGCAGTAAAACTGTACAGTCAATGCTTATATACATACATCCAAATCTCTTTAACACGTACGCTATTACAACAAAAGCTTCTCACAGGGGAAATAAATACCCAGACAAACTTTCTTTCTTTTTTTTCCTGTTTTTGAAAAAGTGAGCTGGCGACTGTCCAGAGTGTATCTTTGCACCTTTTGTCCAACTCAGCCAGGATAGGCTTGAGACCCCTAACTAACTACATAAGAAAACAATGGATGGTCCTCTATTGTTGTTGCTTTGTTTCACAAATGACACAACAGTCTATGCAGTTACTTTTTCCTGAAGACAGACTGTTGATGAGCTTCAGACTGTTTTTCAAGAGCTGCGAGCTTTACTGTATGGTCTCAATTGAAAGTACATCCAAAAATTAATTGGGTATCTGGGTGGATAATGTGCTCTCTTAGAGTGTATTGTGGGCATCTAGGAGGTTTAGGAAGTCTAGGTTCAAAAATGTTCCACACTATAAGATGATAGTTTGGACAAAAGCTGCTTCCTCTGCATTATCTACCAACTCTATCATATTATATCCAATTAGCTGTCCAGTGTGCACTTTAAAATCGGGTTTCCAGGCCCTTAGGTGACAGGTAAGCCTATATTTTTATTCCTTTTTATCTATGGAATGTCCTATGATCCAATAAATCAGGAGATGCTGGTTTGCATCCTATGTGGACCATTTTTTAATTGTAATTTTTTGTCTTTTATTTTATTAATTATTTTATTTTATATTATAATATATATAATATATAATTTAACAGTTATAACAATTAGAAAAAAATATAAATATTTTATAGTTATATATAATCACATTTTATTTCTATAAATATTTTAGGTGTATTTAAATTAAACTGTGTAACACAATGCTCTTTATTTATACCACTAAAATAAAAAATGACTGGAACCCGCCTTCGTTACCTCACAGGTGAATTCTGTGCGTCGTTACAGGGCAGCTGCTTCTCCGCCTGTTCACAGTTAAAATCATTACTTGTGTGTTTTGCTATTTTTTCTGAAGGAATTGTATTTTTCTTGGACGGTTCTTGTTACAAAAATGATCTCAAAGAATTCCGGTTTACATAAAGGTTAGACGTGATGTCGTCAACTTCCGCTTCCTGTCTGATGAGAAGCCGGTAAGGCGGTTGCCATAGCAGCGTTTTCCAATACTCACGAGCGCACACGCACACAGAAGATGGAGTACAGCAAATTCAGCCGTTTTCACGATTCTCTAACACAGTTTAAATGTTACGAGGATTACCTGGACTCAAAAGTCACGCCACTGGATCTGTTTTACTTTAAAGTGAGTGAAAAGTACAACTTTTATAAGCACTTTTATCCTACCTATCACTCCTTACACCCCGCTATTTTGTGGCATTGCGCCTCAGAGCCGCACTGACTGAACTACAATTTCTTCATCAATCTACAGCAGTGAATTTTATTAAAAAATAACCATAGTCTCTCCAAAATTACCAGGACTCCTTCAATTCGCCACGTATAAAACCTGCCTTCATTAGCTTGCTAGCACATCACCTGCTTCTGGTACGTTGGCCTCTTGGTATGTTGCTCATCTAATGTCGCTCCGGTGTGCAAAGCAAGAAAATAAATTTTACACGCTTTATACAAATATTGGCCATTTTTAGCTACGTACTATCCCGACATTAAAAATATACTCTTAAAAATATGAAAATAACTTCATGGGTGTTTTACAGGGTGTGACTCGCATACCTGTGATCAACCAAACATAGTTGACAAACACTTGTCTGGCTTGTGGCATATACTATACCTCAAGTGTTATTTTCATCGACAGTAAATATCGTTTTAAGTTAATATCTGTTTGTTACTGCTCCCTGTTATTTTTTTTTCCTGCATTGGACTTAGTTCGCTGTTTCATTAAAAGCAGATTTGACTTGTTGGTGTAATTTCAGTAGTTCAACGCTAGGTGGTAGTCATACCAAGGTTTAGAATAAAACCAGTAACTCACTCTGTATATTCAGTCTGTGGTTTAAACTCTGAATTTAACAAGCAGCTATCATCACTCCAGTCTGCTTGTTTCATGCGATAAAGTAGAGAAACAATTACTCGTATCACATGGCAGTCGTACCGTTTCAAAGCCACACAGACAGTACAACGGGCTGTATTACATTTTGTTGTTGTTGTTATTGTTGTGTTGTGCTCGCTATAGACCATAGATTCTTTGCACAAGTAGCACTATTGTATATGAAATTATAATCCATCCATCCATTATCTTCCGCTAAGGTTAGGGTTAGTTATTTTCATATGTTTTTCAGGGATGGACGAAAGACTTAGGAGAAGTAGCTTTCAGGCTGTATATTATCAAACATATGCCTTTAAAAGGCCCTAAATCGCATTTGTTCTTTCTTTCATGTTGGTCTCTTAAGTTTTTCGAGCCACGTATTCTGCTAAATAAGTTGAAAATGAACCTGCCCTTTAGAAATCAGCAGTCCTGCATCCGTCCAGCAGATGGCGCCCATGCTAATGAGTTATGTGTCTGCTGCGGAATTGTTTGAACACCTGTGTCCACATTGAGAGAACAACGCCTATCTGACCTGATAATCAGCTGCAGTCAATCATTCAGATTCTTCCCTGTGTTGTGACACAGCACACTCAGCCCAGGTCATCTGGCATGTGTAGTTGTGTTGAAAAGGGCCAAATCTGGATAAATCCACTAATTATGAACCCATTTATCACAGATCATGTTATTCCGGTCTTGTCTCTGAAATGCCGTGTATTACAAAGTGATTTCCACCTTAGCTGATTAGTGTAGATCCTGGTGTGTGCGCTCAAATCATCTGTTTGAGTGGATTATCAGGCCAATTTTAGGCCTTTCCAGTCACCTTTCTCACTCACTATGTATTAACAGACCTCTCTGCATTAAATCATATCTGTTATTAACCTCTGTCTCTCTTCCACAGCATGTCTTTTATCCTGTCTTCCTTCTCTCACCCCAACCGGTCGCAGCAGATGGCCGCCCCTCCCTGAGCCTGGTTCTGCCGGAGGTTTCTTCCTGTTAAAAGGGAGTTTTTCCTTCCCACTGTTGCCAAAGTGCTTGCTCATAGGGGGTCATATGATTGTTGGTTTTTTTTCTCTGTATCTATGAAGCGCCTTGAGGCGACTTATGTTGTGATTTGGCGCTATATAAATAAAATTGAATTGAATTGAATTGAATTTTAGGACCAGCAAAAGTCTGAGACTCATTTCTGGTCAGCCACATCAAAGCTGAAGGAAAATATAACTTTTCCTCTTGGGTGCGGACACAGGCCCGGCTGCTGGGATTTTGGGTATGAGGACATGTGGCAGAAGCTTTGATCTAACAAGCCACTGGGTTTGACGGCGAGATTTGGTTTTTAGATGATGACTTTATGGCTTTGCTTTAATGACAGCAGGTTTGCAAGTGACGATCGGAATAATGTAGCTAAAAATCCCTGCTGACATACATTAATGCTCACACTTACAACAGAAATAGATCTGGAAATAGGAATGAAATCATCCTGAACCCATAAAACTAAAAATGTGGTGGTGTTGGAGAGCAGGTCATCGCTTCCATACTTTTAGGCAGGGCAGTGAAATGACACCTTTCAATCGAAAGACAAGCGTGACAAGTAAATCCTAAAAACCAGCTGAGAAAATTTCAAGTTTTATCTGTCAGTACTCTTGTGGTGATTAGTGAGTTGAGAGGCCACAATTTGTAAATTCGGCACTGCAAACGTCTGACAATATCCAGCCTTGACTGTAAAGCATGCTCCCTCTTCTTCACTGATTCTTCTTCTGTTCTCATCTCAAGCAGAAGGAGTTGGCCCTTAAGCTGGTGGAACACGGCCACAGGGGCACGGTCCTGAGCAGGGAGGAATTTGAGGAGAGGAAAGCAGCTGTGCAGGCTGCAGAGGCTGCAAAGAGCAACGCTTTCTACGACAGGAGCCGGCCAGTGTGAGTTAACTTCTCACTGACCCCACTGTGCTGTCTGAGGTGTTGTCCTTACGACTGACCAGGAGAGACAGATTCACACAAAGCACCAGTTAAATGCTAGAAGAGGTTGGGTTATATTTGGAAAATTAAATGAGGCTGTTTACAGTCCGAATGTGGTCAGAGGATTTTAAAATCAGTCACAGTGGAAAGGGGAAAAAAAGTTACTGTTCTGTAGTTCATTATATTCACTTCTCATTTAGTGTGAAAGAATAATATTTCAGTTGAGTGATCCTCAGTCTCTTCCTTGGGTCTTTTTCTGTAGTTGCGGTTGAAGTCAGGGGGCTCCCCGTGAATCAGTTTCTGTGCTTGAGCTGTTTCCATTCCTAACCAGATCTTATATCCCGAGCCATATTTTTGTCAAAGTACCAACTTTTCTGTGTAAACAGTGTCACAGCTCACGTCAAGCAAATTTATTTGTCTTTACTGTTGGGGTGTTTCACATCGTTTCAGATTTGCAGGGGTGCATAATGAGAAGGAAAACCTAAGCTCCATCTGGTGGACTTTGATCCCTTGTTAAAGCAATAATATGTAACTATTTTCTTTTTAAAATAACAACTTCAAAATCATTTTGATGGTACACTGACTTGTAATAGGGCGAGCGGCTTCTCTTTCAACGCCTGCTCTGGCAGTATGTAACGTGGGTGAGTGGGTACAAACCTCCGAGAGAACTGTGTTGCCAAGAACACTGAGAGCGGAGCTCAGCAGATCAGCTACCGAAGACACGGTGCCCAGCAGCAGACGACTGGTGGAACAAGAGGAAGCGGCGTGCAAGAAAGCTTTAGAGGGGTAAACTGATCGGGCTTCTATAGAAGTTTAAGATTAGCGCAACCAGGTTAGCTAGTCCTGTGTTTGTTCCGGCAAAATTTTGTTCACTGTATAATAAATTATACCCGCTCCAGCTAAGATTAAACACACAAAAGGAAACAAGGAGCTATTTAGCTTTCTAATGACCAAAGCTTGGCTCAATAACAACTTGCCGGACTCAGCATTTTAGCTTGATTTGTCTTTTTCAAGTGGGCCAAGACTTGAAGTCTGGGAAAAACAGATGATGGCGGGTCTGCACATGTAGGTTGGTGCAAGAACTGCGCTGTGATTAACAACTGTTCAGTAGTAGAGAAATATATTACAGTCAAATACCCACCGCTGTGTCTTGTTTGATGTTTGGCTGCGTTAGCAAAGTCAGTGTCTACTCCAGTGTATGAACAGGGATTATTTATTATATATACTGTTTTTGTTTTTTTTCTTTTTTCTTAGACATAAGCTCCATCTGTTGGGTTAGCTTACTGTTGTTTTTACACATATCTTGACAGATACGGTAGTAGAATTAAAACTTCCACAAGGAAAGAGCTTTTTAAAACCTTATGTTGGCACCAAACCTTTAGTTTTTTAATTTTGGGGCGATCGTGGCTCAAGAGTTGGCAGTTCGCCTTGTAATCGGAAGGTTGCCTGTTCGAGCCCCGGCTCCAACAGTCTTGGTCGTTGTGTCCTTGGGCAAGACACTTCACCTGTTGCCTACTGGTGGTGGTCAGTGGCGCCAGTGTCCGGCAGCCTTGCCTCTGTCAGTGTGCCCCAGGGTGGCTGTGGCTACAATGTAGCTGCCATTACCAGTGTGTGAATGGGTGGATGACTGAATGTGTAAAGCGCTATACTAATACAGGCCATTTACCATGTAATACGAACCATAAGTAACCGAATAAAGGTCATGTTTTTATTAAGGCTTTAAACCAGACATTAATTTAGGTGATGTCAAAGTGGCTTTGTCCATCCATGGTGTCTCTGGCTGGATCCATTCTACCCTTGTTCAACATATATTTTGGCTAAACCACCAAGGCACAGCATCCATGGCAGCAGACATCTACACATGCACCAGTAAGTTCTGCTTAACACCAACAACAGGTGGAGCTTTTAGACTGTTACTGAGCAAAACTCTAAAAACAAAACAAAGTACTGTAGCTCTCAGCAATTTTGTTTGTGGCAGATGATGGTTGTCAGTATTTCGAACCTCAGCAGTCTGACTGGGTGTTCATCAGTATAAAGCTACTTGCATTTAATCACACTGTGTATTCATGCAGTAGTGTTCAGAAGGAAAGTACCAGTTTGTTTTTCTCAAATGATGGAGATGGTGTGCAGGTACAATTACACATGAGGACACAAGTATTTGCCCCTCACTATTAATAATAAATGTTTTTCCTTCTTTAACAGAGTAAGAGATTTTTAACATAGCACTTTGAAACATACTGTCTTTAGAAAGCATCAATTATTTCTGTTATTTCTGATTGATTGCAGACAAAAAAATACCAGGGCCAATGTTATAAGGGATCGTTAGCTATTTTTAGCCATAGCACAAACCGCTGGCATGCAATGATATGCTTTAATTTTGCAATGCTCTAATCTATAAAATCAAGTTAAGACTAAGGGATTTTTTTTTTCCAATTTACGTAGTATCAAAACTTCAGCAAGAGTTTGAGATGTCACTTGAGAAAGCATCATGTTAAACACAAACGAAATCAGCAGAAAATGCATATACAAACTTATCACAGTGTTTTCAAGTGTCAAGAACTGAAGTGAGAAGTATAATCAGAAATTCAAAGAGAGCCACACAGTGCAGCACCAGTCTGGCAGAGGTAGGAAGCAAAGATTTGAACGACTGGGGGAAAAAAGTGAGAGATGTGTCTAAAGACCCAAGAACATCTGCCAAGACACTAAATTACTTAGCCAAGTTGTAAATTGTAGTCTCAAAGGAGACAATCATTGGCACCCTGCACAGTAAAAAAACAAAAAAACAACTCCACTTCTGCAAAAGAGATGCCTTCAAGCCAGACTGAAGTATGCTAAGGACAACATGAAGACAGATTATATATACTGGAAGTCTGTCCTTTGGTCAGATGAGGTGAAACTAGAGCTCTTTGACCCCAGAGACAATGTTTACATTTGGAGCAAGAAGGAAGAGATGTACAACCCAAAGGACACAATCCTCACAGTGAAACGCTGTAGAGATGCTCAAGTGTGCCTGGAACACCTTGAATTCTGTCAGGGTGGAAGGAATCGTGAAGAAAGAAGGATTCTGAAAGAAAAACTCAAGCAGTCAGTAGCAAAACTGGCTCTGGGTCATTTCTTTATCCTCCAACACAACAGTGAAAATGTCACTCCCTCCAGAAGACCAAAGTTAAAGT